TCTTGGTTTGAGATTGTACTGGGCCAAAAGATATGGAGGATTTTTCTGAGGCAGGTTGTATGGAATGAAGAGAGTTTGGACATATTCATACTTTTTCTCATCTCTGCAGTGACCTGAGCTAGCTTTGATTTTTACGAGACAGGGTTGTTAGCCCTGTACCTAACCCCCAACCTGGAGGACCAGGGTGTCTGTTTTGTCTGGCCCCTCCCCCACAGACCAACCCAGCATGGTTGAACCTACCAGGAGCAAAAAGCCCCGGCCGACACAGACTCTGGGGATCATTAGAGCACGCAAGATGGCTCGCCATGACAAGGCACGGACACCAGAGGACAGACCTTGCTGTTTAGTTATAACTAAATAGTCCAGCACATGTGATATTGAAGCCGAGACGGGGGAAAACTCCTTTTTGTTGGAACCACAGATTCTCTTCCACTTTGCCAATTAAGTATATCTAGTAGAAGGTTTTCTACTATTCAAGAATCAGAGGGGTAGCCGTGTTAGTCTGGATCTGTAAAAAGCAACAAAGAGTCCTGTGGCACCTTAAAGACTAACAGATGTATTGGAGCATAAGCATGCGTCTGACGAAGTGGGTATTCACCCACGAAAGCTTATGCTCCAATATATCTGTTAGTCTTTAAGGTGACACAGGACTCTTTGTTGCTTTTTACTATTCAAGAGCGTGACTTGCACTCCCTTTGAGCAGATCTCCTGAGGTGTCAACCACAGAGCATCCGGGATGGTTGGGATGGAGGAGGTGGCAAATTCATTCCGGAGATACAGAAGGAAAAACATGACAAGCTAGTTGAATATCTTTCAATTCTCTTACCATTTATGTGGAGAGTTAAATCCTGGGCAGACCACAGGTCTTGAGTCTGCAGGGATCCTAGGTGGGCCCTCCTACCTAAGGTGTAAGTGCCAATAACTAAGGCCAAAGTAGGCTGAGAAGAGGCAAATGAAATCCACACACACACACGCACACAAGGTCTGTCCAACAGTCCAGAGAGGCTAAGATTCATATAGGCATCCGAACCACCATGTCCAGAGGAAGACGAGCGGGAAGTACACTCAGCTCAGCCATTCTTGAAGTTTCCTGAGATGAAGCCTGGCTTACCAAACCTCATAAGTACATGATGCCATATGCCCCACCAGTCTAAGGCAATTCCATGCCATTGTGGTAGGACGGGTGTTCAAGTCTAAAGAAACGGCCAGCATCATCTGGAACCTGGTCTAAGGGAGAAAGGCCTTGGCTTCCATAGAGTCCAAGACCACTCCTATGAACTCTCGCTTCTGTCATCTGCACAAAGGATACTTTTCCTCTACGAGCAATCCTAGCACGCTGAAGGTAGATTGGATCACAGCCACACTGGACAGCACTTTACCCATGGTCCAGCCTCTCACCAACCAGTCACCCATGTAGAGAAATATTTGAACTCCTGATTTCCTCAGGAAAGCGCCACCACTGCGATGCACTTTCTGAACACGCAGGGCTGAGGACAGGCCAAATGGCAGGACTGTAAACTGGTAGTGGAATTGGTTGTCCAAAAACCTGGGGAATTTCCTGTGGCTTTGATGTATTACCACACAGAAATATGTGCCCTTTAAGTCGAGGGCAGCATTCCAGTCACCAGGATCCAGGGAGGAGATAATGGAAGCCAGTGTGATCCTGAGAAACATTATTTTCTTTAGGTGTTTGTTGAGCTGCTTCAAGTCTAGCATAGGTCTGAAACCTCCTTTCACTTAAGGAAGTAGCAAGAATAAAACCTCATCCCTCTGTGAAATGGAGGAACCTCCTTTAGGGCTCCCAGCTGGAGGAGAGAATGAACCTCCCCACAGGAGAACTTCCTTGTGAGAATGGTCCCTGAAAAGAGATTGGGAAGGAGGGTGGAAATTGGGGGTTAGAAATAAACTGAAGGGTGTATCCCAATTCCACCATGCTTAGACCCTACTGGTCTGTAGTGATGCAGGTCCAAGCACTTAGCAAGTAGGACAACCTATTAGAATACATCAGGGTATGAGAGCTGGCAAACTGAAGACTGGGCAGCCTGTCCTCAACACACATATCCAAAAAAACTACTTGGCTGTCTGGCTGCTGCTGAAGTAGTAGGTAGAGGTGGTCCCCTCCTATAACTTTTGCCTTTCTTTCTAGCATGGTCTTTATTGCAATGCATACCAATGTGGCTGCTGGAGGACAGTACTGCTTCTTCTTTGGGACATGTATATAAATGCCAAATGATTTGAGCCACCCCTACAACCCTTAAGTCTGTGCAGCTTGTTATTGGTCTGTTCCGAGAAAAGTGATGGCCCCTTGTAAGGAAAAATCTGGAGAGTCTCTTGGATCTCCTGAGGAAGACCCAATTACTGGAGCTGCAGACATTTGTGCATTGTAATAGCCAATGCCATGGCTCTAGCTGCAGCAACCAAACCAGCCAGAAGTAAAGCGATGGCTGCCAACTTTCCCTCATCCACCATAGCAAGAAACACCTGTCTCGCATCCATTAATTTTAAAACATTGTCCTTGCGGTTAAATTCAATGATCAGCAGTGCTTGCTGATTAACAATGCTGAGCTGTAGCTCAGCTGTTGAATAAAGTTTCCTGCCAAAGAGATTGAGCTTTTTTTTTTTTTTTCATCTTTTGATTTTGGAGTAGATGCTTTCTAGCCCTGGCACTCTGGGAGGGAGGGAAGATAGAGTTTGCCATAGCACTTTAGTGGGCACCAGAATAGCCTCGTTAATTGGAAATGCCACTTGAGAAGTTTCCACAGATGCCAAGATATTGACCAATCTGTGAGACCTCTCTAGAACCATTTCCACCTGAATATTTAAGGCGAAAGTCACCCTCTTTAGCAGGTCTTAGTGGACAATATAATCATACAATGGAAGTAAAGAACCCTCCGATACTACTGCCTACTCAGGCAATGAGGAGGACCACCACAGGACTGGCTAAAGTGTAGCTTCCCCCAATTATTGGGGGGACGGGGGGAAGGCACCAAAGCAGACCGTCCATGTTCAGTTCTCAGCCTGGTACCTGCTTCCTGCTACTCTTGACAAGAAGGATCTGGATGTCTTCTAGAAGAAGAAGAACAGAAAGGGTGTGGAGACAACTTGGAGGCAGGTAGAAACCTCCAAGAGTTCCAAAATGGCCACTGGTATGGTACCAGAGCTCAATTCCTTCACGGTCAGCCAAGACAGAGCTTCTGCTAATGTGACACAGCCATGACACATACAAGCCAACTTCCAACTCAGAGGTTGAACTGGATTCATCCAACCAAAGAGGAGCTACTCCTGTCAGTGCCAGGGATTGGTGTCAGTAGTATGGAGAAAAGGGCATTAGTGAGATCACTGCAGTTTGCCTCTCGACAGCGGCGTACAAGAAGGTACTGCAGTGTCCACAGTATTGAGAGACTGAAAAGGTCGCATTCCACAACATATGTTTCAAATGGTACGGTCTCTTGCTACTGCTAACCCAACAAAGACAGCACCACTGACACAGATGGTGCCGCCTTAGGGATCAGTACCAGTGTTGAGTCAACAACCCTGCCTGAGCAGTTATTTAAACGAGGGAGTGCTTCAGCCTCAATTGCAGTCTATCCTCCTCACCAGCATGTTTGCTGGACTTTGGTGTCAGGGACTTTGATCTCCCAGATACCAAGTCCTTCGATACCATCTTCTGGTGTCTCTTCCTCAGTACTGGAGAAGGAGACAGGCATCAAGAGTCTGTCAAAACAGGAGGAGCGCTCTTAATCAAAGCAGATGTGATCGGTACACACTCTGAATTGGGAGGCTCTGAGTGTGGGTGCAGGGCTGCCTCCATCAGGAGGTGTTTTAGTGTGACCTCCCTTCCTTTTTAGTTCTGGGTTTAAAGTCCCTGCAGATCTGGTACCATCTCTGTCATGAGCTTCTCCTAGGCACTCAGGCACTTGAAGTGCAGGTCACTAACCAGCATCTGTTTCTTGAAGGCATCACAGGGCTTGAAGCCTGGGGATCGAGGCACGCCCCCCCCCCCCACCAGGTACCAGTACCCACACAGCAGGAATCAAAGAGTACCAAAAAAGTACACCAAGAAAGGAAACCTAATGCTACATTATCCTAACAAAAACTATTCATGAGTACCAACTATATACAAATGCAAAATGAAGAAAATTTGCAGCAGCAAGATAGCACGCTCCAATAACTGTCATGGGTGGTAAGGAGGAACTAAAGGTTTGAGCATTGGCCTGCTAAACCCAGGGTTGTGAGTTCAATCCTTGAGGGGGCCACTTAGGATCAGGGGCAAAAATTTGGGATTGGTCCTGCTTTGAGCAGGGGGTTGGACTAGATGACCTCCTGAGGTCCCTTCCAACCCTGATAGTCTATGATTCTATGATAAAGGGGATTGGGTGTGGCTCTATCCTTTACAACATAGTGCAGCAGCACACAGCAGCAGATGGTGCATGCATGGCCCTAATGGGTACCGCTGAGGGAAAAATCTCCAGCAGTGCACTGGGCATGCACAAACCTGAAGTGGAATGGACACGTGCAACCACTTGAAGAAGATTGGATTGTATCACTGATCTAAAGGAGATTCCATGAATGGCATGAGATAGAAAATAGGTCAAAATGGTGCCTGCATTGGGAACCAATTTGTTTGGGGGTCTGCTATCAATAACCAAAGTCCCACATGCCTATATGAAACCAATTTATGTGAAGCCACTTAGACCATGAGCTGTTGAGGTTGATTCTTAGAGCCCCTTTACTGCCTGCCTGCACTCCACACCCAGGCTGTTTGCCCTCTCATCGTCATACGGGCAGCTGCTGCAGGGAGGAAGCAGCAACGAGGCACAGCAATCCACCACGGCAGCTGGGGGTGACAGCTTTTAGATTGTGGCTGGAATTCTTCATTTCTCTTACGATATCTTCCCACAATTATGAGCAAGGATGTACAGCTAAAGTCAATGTACCACTTCCAGATGCATTTACAACTTTAGAACAAGTTACCTGAAACTAATTGACTGCATCCTCACCTTTAACTGCCCTCCGGCCCGAATATAGTTGTATGTAGAGAAATTTTTCTGAAGATGTAGAGAGCGTAGTATCTGATCAGAACCTCCCTGGAGAAGCTGTGCAAATAGTATTTTAAAAAACAAATATCAATCAAAAAAAACCAAACACCATCCAATACGTTCATAGTTGGTGTAATATCATAAGTTACTCATTTATTGCTACATTGAATATATTCTGATCCTTTTTCCTCATGCGTGGTGAGGCATGACCACAACTTTCCATTTCCATTACTAACATGCAAACAGCCTTGGCATCTGAAGCCAGTAAGCATCACGTAATGAATTTTCCAGTCACATGGAAAGGCTGTGTAAGCATTGGGGCTATGATATACACAGTCTCCACCATTACAGAGCCAAAAACACCTTCCAGGTGGTTACCTTTAAGGCTGTTAAAGCAACAATCTTGCAAACAAGTCAAAACCTCTGCACAGGGGCAACCTCATACAGATGTTTTCAAGCAAGCATTCAAGACCAAACACCTGTACTTTCCCCAACGGAAACATCTTCAAATTGCCGCATGTTGGAAATAAAGTGATATATATACACACCATGGTGGCAAATATCAGCAACTGTGCTGAACAAAGTAAGGCAGGTATGTTGTTATTTTCTTTACAAAGAGGTATGATGAGGGGCATCTCCTTCCCCAGCAGAGCCTACACAGTGGCATCAGCCTACCACAAACAATACTGAAGGCACTGAAGTAAAAATATGAAGTTAAGATGTGAATGTATTCAGTGCCATGAAACTAGCTCCATCCAAATTACAGAAGCCTCATGAGAAAAGAGGACACTAGTTGTACTGCTAATGAAGTACTAATCCAAAGTCCAGATATAGTACTATATACTCAGAAGTACTAATAAGTTTACAAATGTGTTAATAAATAGGAGGATGAGGAGGAATATTTCACCCTTCCATGGCCCCTCTCCAAAATTAGGCATCTTCAGCCAACATAGAATTGTTAAAAGCAGAAAACTGGCTCAGAATGTGATAACACAGAGCACCCCTTTACAAAATGCATGCAAGAGGGAATGTGTTAATTGCTTTGCCTGTATGTCCTGTGAACAGATGAATGAGTCAGCTAATTTCCATGTGTTTGAGTAGGCAAACACTAACCTGATAAAAAGAGTGAAAGCTTCGTTCTCCTGGCTGCTGCACAATCACTCGGGACTGTAGGGGAAAAGATGCAAAGACATGTATTTTTAGACACTAGTAGTGTGCTTCTTAAATATCTTACCTTAATCTGCCAATGCAATAATTCACTATCTTTACCAAAATCCCTTTAGCACTTTTTACCCTACAAATGTACTACTGATCATTACTAGCGGTGTATGACACAAGGCAGTCCCCGTCCCATGGAGTGTACAGCCCAGTCATACACAGATCATTCAAATACACAAACAATAGGATATTTTTAAAGATGACTCCCCCTGTGGTGACCATGGTAATTACTTACATGCAAAACTCACATAAGAAATTATTTTGAGCATCTAATAGGAAATAGGAAACAGCACCATGTGACCACCAGCAAGTGCTCCAGGGTCCACAGTTAGGGAACTCTTGTGGTAAATTCTTCTGCTAACACACCAGAGCCTATCTCATAGAACTGGAAGGGACCCTGAAAGGTTATCGAGTCCAGCCCCCTGCCTTTACTAGCAGGACCAAGTACTGATTTTGCCCCAGATCCCTAAGTATCCCCCTCAAGGATTGAACTCACAACCCTGGGTTTAGCAGGCCAATGCTCAAACCACTGAGCTATCCATAAAAGCAGTGGCAAGTTATGCTTCACTTTTAATCTAAGATCAATGTTGGCAGGAGCAAGAGGCGTTCAGATCTTCACTGAATCTTAGTCCCAGACCAGTGTAAGATTTAGGGGAATTCTTGTTAACTACAGTGGAACTTCACATTCAACTGCCAACTACAGAATTTTGCAAATTAATGAGGAAGTAAAGCCAGGAGTCAGATACCGCATGACAAAACGTATACTGTGGCCTTGTCTACACTTACAAGGGGCTTGACAAACGGCAATCGATGCATCGGCGATCGATTTAGTGGGTCTAGTGAAGACCCGCTAAATCGACCTCAGATCGCTCTCCTGTTGACTCCTGTACTCCACCTGAACGAGAAGCGCAAGGGGAGTCGATGGGAGAGCGTCTCCAGTCGACACCGCGTAGTATGGATCCCGCAGTAAGTAGACCTAAGTACGTCAATTTCAGCTATGTTATTCACATAGCTGAAGTTGCGTAACTTAGATCCATCTCCCCCGTAGTGTAGACAAGGCCTTTGAATAGCATAATGTAGTTTTGTTTAAATCCTTAACTAGTAGAGTGAAACAACTAGGTTTCCTGTGAGAATTACCAGGATAATGGATTAGCAAAAAGTCAATGAGAATTAGTGAGGTTGCTGTTGTAAATATGATGATTTGTATGATCACGCAAGGTTAGCTGACTTAAGATCAGACCTCTGTATGCAGCAATGGAAAATCATTGCCTGCCCTCATCAGCCAATTGGGCTAATATTAAACCCTCAAAATAAAATAAAAAAAATGTTAACAGAAACAAGAACTTAGCATAGTGCAGTCAAATACATTTTATAAAAAGCCTTATGATTTAAAGTCATTGCAATTGCAAACAATTTTTTCCCTTAGTGTGTCACTAGGGTCAAAGCAGTACATATTAAACACTAAACACAACAAAATGTTTATTCTGGAACTAGGTTTCAGAGAAATAAAGACAGAAGTTTAAAAATGTTGCCAGATGCTGTCATTTTAGACTGTACAGATTTGACATGAAATACATTGTTTCCATCACTCTCCTGGAATATGTAATAAAAGTTAACAGATGATCATGTAAAGCTATGGCATCAGTTCAATGCAATATTTCTAAAACCACACCACCACTTCTCGCAGACACACAGAAATCTTCGTAATTTATGCTTGACCAGTGAGATTTCAGTGCAAGAATTTCTGTGGGAAGCAATTTTATACATGTTAAATTAATCTCAGATTTTATTCTGGGTACAAAGCACAGACAAAACATTCTGAAACCTTTTTATTTATCCCGAGTTCTATGATGGAATGAGCTCTGAAAAACAATGGTTTCATGGTGTTTGTGTTGCAACAAATTAGTTGCGGTGCTTTGACAGATTCTTAATTTTAGCTACCATACCTTTATTGATTCTGGGGGAAAAAATTAAGGTCTGGATCTGAAGTGACAGTCATCCTATGATGGATATTCAATGAACTATTTGACGTGAGTTCAGGAGGAACACATTTAAAATGGCAAATACTATGTTTTATAAATCATACATGGGAAGACAGCCTAGCACTTTACAGTCAAACTCAGCTTACCTTTTCTAGTAAGTAGTTATTGATATGTCCACCTATCGGGTCTCCTTTGAAATCAAAGTTGATATCCATGTATTTTCCAAATCTGCTGGAGTTGTCATTACGGTTGGTTTTGGCATTGCCAAAGGCCTCTAACACACAGTTGGATTTCAACAACATGTTCTTCACTCTAGTAAAGATAAGCAGAAAAGGCAAGAGAACAGCACAAGTGTACGTAGCGTGTTCCTAGATATCTAGTGCAATCTTTTTCCAGACACAAATCATGCTTTTCAGAAGGCTTTAGTAACAGCCAGGTTGTATTCTACAAGAAGATTCAAATGTGTCCCGATTCATAGATTCCCAGGGAGCACTGTGATCATCTAATCTGACCTCCCGTATAACACAGGCCAGAAAAATAATTCTTAAAGCAGATTTTTACGAAAAACATCCAATCTTGATTAAAAATTGTCAAGGATAGAGAATACACCAGGACCCTTGGTAATTTTTTTCAATCGTTAATTACTCTCACCGTTAAGAATTTACATCTTATTTCCAGTCTGAATTTATCTAGCTTCAACTTCCGGCCATTGGATTGCGTTATACCTCTCTCTGATAGACTAAATAGCCCATTATTAAATATTTGTTCCCTAGGTAGATACTTATACACTGTAATCAAGTTGCCCCTTAGCCTTCTCTTTGTTAAGCTAAATAGATTTAAAGAACTCAATCTAACTCAGTGGTTCCCAAACTTCAACAACCTGTGAACCCCTTTCACTAAAATGTCAGGTCTCGTGAACCCCCTCCTAAAAAAATATTTCTAGGGATTTTTCTCCTTTACCGGCGTATAAATTATAAAAGCACTGATCTTGGAAATATAAAATTTGTTGCTATGACATGCTCATTGCACATTATTTATTATTAATTATTAATCATGACAGTATTTTTATTACATTATGAAAATGGCAACATTCTTCCAAGATATCACTTTTGTAGCTTGTATCACTTTGAATAAGCCTGTTATAAGACAAGGCTTCTATGTTTCACCCAGGAGTATCAGATGTGAAACAGCATGAAGGTATTTAAGAGCAGTCCAGGCAAACAACGCATGTTACAACAAAGTTTAAACTTGTTCTTCATAATAATTTTAAAAAACAATATTAGCTGCCTATTTAATTTTAAAAACAGCAAAAAATATCCACCTCCCTTTCCATTTCTTATAAGGAGTCTTGAAGTTTCAGTCTCCTCAGTGTGATAGATCTGCCTGCTTTGATCTGCTTAGCTCTTGGAAGTCCAGGGGCCTGTGCTGCCCAGGGTCCCTAGGGACAGCTCTGTCCGCCATTAGGGATTTTTTTCCCGAGAACCCCCTGCAACAGTTCGCGAACCCCAGTTTGGGAACCACTGATCTAACTCTATAAGGCAGGTTTTCTAACCCTTCAGTCATTCTTGTGGCTCTTCTCTGAACCCTCTCCAATTTTTCCAACATCCTTGAATAGGGGACACCAGAACTGGACACAGTATTCCAGCAGTGGTCACATGAGCACCAAGTAAAATAACCTCTCTACTCCTACTTGAGATTCCCATATTTATGCACCGCCCGGATTGTGTTATCTGTGTTGGCCAAAGCATCACATTGGGATCTCATGTTCAGTTGATTATCCACTATGACCCTGAAATCTTTTCCAGAGTCATTGCTTACCAGGCTAGAGTTCCCCATCCCGTAAGTATGGCCTAAATTCTTTGATCCAAGATGTATAAATTTAAATGTAGCTGCATTCAAACACATTGTAATACATAACTTATTCCCTGTAACCAGGAATCTATTTTAGACAGATAATATGCATAGGTGGTACTCTGTTAGTAAAAGATCCCAGCTGATTTTCCAAGCCCTAGACATGAATGGGGAGCTGGAGAGTGAGCATTTTCATTGGAGAGCCTTTGGTTGTAGAAAGCAACAGAGAGTCCTGTGGCACCTTTAAAACTAACAGATGTATTGGAGCATAAGCTTTCGTGGGTGAATACCCACTTCGTCAGACACATGCTTATGCTCCAATACATCTGTTAGTCTTAAAGGTGCCACAGGACTCTCTGTTGCTTTTTACAGATCCAGACTAACACGGGTACCCCTCTGATACTTTGGTTGTAGAATTTACTTCCTCGGTTAGTCTGTCTAAATTTGAGTTTGCCCCCGTGAAATACTCATCTAATCTCTCGGTTTCTTGCATGGTGGGCAAGTTGTTCGAGAGTTAGTTCCAAGGTGGGAGTTTAATTTTCTTTGTCAGTATGCCACGTTCATTTATTTAAAGACATTTATACTTTTACTCAGTATGCCTGATGGGCATATTTAGAAATTCATGAACATGAAATGCTGGACTAAACTTAGAGTGTATTGCTTCTGTTCAACATCCCATTTGTCATGAATTGAATGTATAAGTACATTTAGTTCCATGAAAGTTTGACTGATACCTCAGCAGAAACTTAATTTCAGGACATCATTTACAATTTGGAAGTGCAAAGGCTTGAGTTACACTCCCAACACTCCTAGACAATTATCTGTTAGCAATTTATCTATGTTTCAAAAATTTTCCCTAAGTCAAAACTTTACCTGCAGGAAAGAATGAATTGATATGAAAACTTCATGTAATTATAAAAGTAGAAGAAAAGAAGATAGGTATATCAAGAGAGCCCAGTATCATGGTATCAGGACATGAAGCTATTTTCCCCCTCAAATTTCTGTAAAGCCCTTACCTTTCAATCTCTGCTCTCTGACTGGGATTGGTGATGGCTGCTATGTACTGCATAATGTATTTACTGGCCTCAGTTTTCCCAGCCCCACTCTCACCTGAGGACACAAACAGCAAAGAAGTATCATAAGCCAAGAAGAGATTAAAAAAAAATTAAGATACTGTAAGTCATTGATCATTGCAATCATGTCATTCTGCTTCGATGGCTTCTCTACCTTTTCTTATTTATTTGAGATATGAGGTGTTTTTGATACGAATGTAACCTTGCCTGGCTGCCGTTACTATGTTAACTTAAAACCAGTAATGAAATAAAAGATTTCACAGGTTTGTAAGGCCTAGCAGGCAGAGGATCAAAAGAGATATTGTCAGAGGGACAAGGCTGGCATACAGTGGCTTGCTGGCAGCAATGCTGTGAACTGTAATACAAGAGACTACTGTTCAGCAGCTATCTTGGGTCTCTTGCTCCGCAGGCTGCTAGAGCATAGGGATACCATGGAAACTACGTGCCAGGATCTGAATAGCAATAGTTCACTCTATGAGCATCTCCCCCACTGTTTAGAGTCATGGCAAGCAATTAGCTTTGGCCATCAAAACAGAAGACAAACACTAACTGAAGTCATCTAAGGTGTAAGAGACAGTCCTCAAAGAAAAGATAGGACTGAATGCTACAGGCTTTTTTCCAAAACCAGTTTTCAACCAGACTGGATGTAACAAGGAAGGGACTCCTATTCAAGTTACCACCACACAATACCATTATTCCTGGGGGAATTCTGCGGCACTGTGCATGTGCAGAATTCATAGATTACTTTGCTTCCCTGCAGAAAAATAACTTTCTGACAGGGAAACAAAGGGAAGCCACAAGAGCCCCTCCCCAGGGGCGGGTGCGTGGTTTCAGGTGTCTGGAGCACCCGGTGGAGAGATATATCATTGCTGGGGACACCAAGACCGGAGCCAGATCAGCCCTCCCCAGCCCCATCCACCAAACCCCAAGCATCTGGCCCACCCCCAGACCCCTCTGCTAAACCTCAACACCGCACACCCAAAACCCCGCCGTCAAGCCCCACTCCCCCACACCCAGCCCTCCCCACCAAGTCCCACGCCCACTGAATCTGGACCCCCACCCCTGCACCCAGATCAGCCCCGCTGAGACCCCCACACCCAGATCTCACTTGTGGAGCCCTAACCACCTTAACCTGAAACCCCCTGCAGAGTCATAGAATCATAGAATATCAGGGTTGGAAGGGACCTCAGGAGGTCATCTAGTCCAACCCCCTGCTCAAAGCAGGACCAATTCCCAACTAAATCATCCCAGCCAGGGCTTTGTCAAGCCGGGCCTTAAAAACCTCCAAGGAAGGAGATTCCACCACCTCCCTAGGTAAAGCATTCCAGTGCTTCACCACCCTCCTAGTGAAATAGTGTTTCCTAATATCCAACCTAGACCTCCCCCACTGCAACTTGAGACCATTGCTCCTTGTTCTGTCATCTGCCACCACTGAGAACAGCCGAGCTCCATCCTCTTTGGAACCCCCCCTCAGGTAGTTGAAAGCAGCTATCAAATCCCCCCTCATTCTTCTCTTCTGGAGACTAAACAATCCCAGTTCCCTCAGCCTCTCCTCATAAGTCATGTGCTCCAGACCCCTAATCATTTTTGTTGCCCTCCGCTGGACTCTTTCCAATATTTCCACATCCTTCTTGTTGTGTGGGGCCCAAAACTGGACACAGTACTCCAGATGAGGCCTCACCAATGTCGCATAAAGGGGAACGATCACGTCCCTCGATCTGCTGGCAATGTCCCTACTTATACAGCCCAAAATGCCATTAGCCTTCTTGGCAACAAGAGCACACTGTTGACTCATATCCAGCTTCTCGTCCACTGTGACCCCAGGTCCTTTTCTGCAGAACTGCTACCTAGCCATTCGGTCCCTAGTCTGTAGCAGTGCATAGGATTCTTCCGTCCTAAGTGCAGGACTCTGCACTTGTCCTTGTTGAACCTCATCAGGTTTCTTTTGGCCCAATCCTCCAATTTGCCCCTGCACTAGGAACCCTCCCAACAAGCCCCTATGCATCCAGATCCCTCCTGCACTCGGACCCCCCATTGAGCCGCTCACACCCCAGATTGCCCCACACAGAATCCTCTCACCCTACACATGGATCCCCGGGGGCCACACTAAGCCCCTCCACACTTGGATCCCGCTGGGTTGAGCCTGTCTGCCCACACCTGGTGCGCTTGGTGGAGAGGGGCAGGGTCCCAGGGTGTTTCTGGGGCAGGCCCAGCCCTAGTGCTCTATCAGAGTTGGGTGCAGCCTCACCCCACCTCCAGGCAGCCAGTGGCCTGTGCTCCCCACTGCCATGCTGTAACCTCTACATGTATTTATTGACAAATACAATTTGCAGAATTTTAAAATATTGTATGCAGAATTTTTCTTTTTGGCACAGAACTTTTAATTTTTTGGAGCAGAATTCCCTCACAAGTATAATATGTATCAATAATTAGTTTAATCTACAAGTTCTTGAATTAGACAATTGTATTTGAATGATATAGATGCAGGCGCATATGCAAATTAAAGTCTTGAACATAGTAAAATTCTCCCTTTAGCAAATGTAACATTAGCCAAATTGTTCTACTTCCTTCCTTGAGTTTCACAAGGAGGGTCAAATAGTCCTCAGGTAGTGAGGAGAGGCTTTTCCACCTTACCTGATATTACAATGCAGGTATCTTTTGATCGTCTCTTCATGGCCTTGTAAGCAGCATCAGCAATTGCAAAGAGATGAGGGGGCCTCTCATATAACTCCCGTCCTTTGTACTGCTCAATCATGTCACGACCATAAATGTTCAAGTTTTTGTAAGGGTTCACAGAAACCACCACTTCACCAATAAATGTATAGATCCGTCCTTTATCAAACCTGCCCAGGGAGAGCCGAAGGGGAAGGTTAGTCAAATGTAATAAATCAGAATTTGTATTCTGCATCCAAGTTGTCCATTTGATTATACCAGTCATTTGATCCAAATATTTTTCACTTTTTTACAATATAATAAAACACTACTAAGGAAAAGTTCTTTATTTAGCACACGTGGTATGTCAATGTATCATTCTAGGTAGTCAGGTAACAGACTATGAATCAAAACTGATTTTGAATTAAATGCTACTTACGGAAATTACCACCATTAGTGTTTCACCTGAAAATGTTTGATACAGATTTGCCTGCTGAGTTCTACTGCAAAACTGAGTTTATGACAAGGTAGGCAAGGTAATATCTTTTATTGGACCCCCTTCTGCTGGTGAAAGGGACAAGCTTTCAAGCTTCATAGGTGACCTGAAGAAGAGTTCTGTGAAGCTCGAAAGCTAATCCCTTTCACCAACAGAAGTGGGTCCAACAAAAGATATTACTTCACCTACCTTGTCTCTCTCATATCCTAGGACCAACATGGTTACAGCAATACTGCAAACAAATTTAGGATCACAGATTACACCCTTGTTCTGCATACGTACCCAACCAGCCTTTCAACATTCATTTCAGATATTTCTATTACAGTTCGTGATCTATCAAGGCACAGAATTTGCTGTAGACTTTATTTTACTCAGCTTGGAGTAAATTTTAAATCACTGCTTGAATTCAATACAGCAAAGATGTATAAAAAAACACTGGTGTTTCTAATCCACTTGCCTAAATAAGCCAGACTTAGAAGGAAAGGTTTACTTTCAGATGTTAAGTTCTGAGGACCTTAGACACTGCATGGCCCAGCAAAGTGCACAGAAATCTGGGAGCCAGAACTAGACCTCTGGTGACAGTTATAAGGAGGGAAAGTTGTAAAACAGTGAATTAACCTACAATCCAGAAAAAAAAAAAAAATCCAACTTTCAACCCTAGTGATTGTTTCCATTCAAAAGGAGCTCTCCACAGTAAGGAGCCCAGAGTGGAACTACAGCCCTGATGTTTAACTGAAGTTTGAAAACTATCAAGTCCCAGACGAGTACATGAAAGGGGATAGCTACAACTAATATTAACCAATCAACTCTCTTAAAAACAAAAAACACTCAGCGCCACCAGTCCTCCTTGTGGAGAGATAAAGAAAAGTAGTCTGGAGTTTCTACACAGGCATTTTTAAGAAGTGGGAGACATTTCCAAAAACAAAAGAAATTTTTCAAGTACTCTGAAACCAGTCTAGATGCCTCCTGTATACTCCCTCATGGCGAAGGGTCACACTACATGCAGCCTGCCTCAGTTTCCATTCTTGCACTGATCAAAAACTTCACTTCAGCTTTTTCCTTGGTTCCCTCTTTGTGGATTGGGATTATTAATATAAAATAAACTGTAAATAAAACTCAAAACCCCTAAAAGTCCATTCATAATACACACAACACAAGGTTTCTCTTCCTCCTCCAGGTCTCCCTGCCAGGAAAGATTTCCTCTCTCTGCAGACTGCCACAACTTCCTGAGCTTTTCCCCCTTCACTGCAACTTTCTGCTCCTTTTACACTGGAATGTCCTTCCTGTCAGAAGGGGCTCACATCCTGTAATCACCAGGCTCTCCAGCCCATGAGGCAAGCCACCCTGTTACATACTCATTCCTCACATTTTGTATACATGGTTTTCCCTAGCTAAATAGAGCCCACATGAGTAGTTTCAGATTGGTAACTGAGGAAATTATAGATTTTGGTTTTGGAAAGGGAGGGATCATGGAAGTTAATAGATCTATTTACAAACCTAGCTACATGGTCCCAGCTTGTGGTCTATTATGTCAGGGGTTCTCAACCTTTTTCTTTCCAACATGCTATAAAAACTCTACGGCCCACCTGTGTCCCAACAACTGGTTTTCTGCATATAAAAGCCAGGGACGGTGTTAGGGGATAGAAAGCAGGGCAATTTCCTGGGGCCCCATGCCATAGGGGCCCCTGCAAAGCTACATTGCTCAGGCTTCGGCTGTAGCCCCAGGGGGGGGGGGGGGGGGCAGGGCCCCAGGCTTCAGCCCCATGCAATGGGGCTTTGGCTTTCTGCCCTGGGCCCCAGAGAGTCTAATGCTGGTTGCTTGGAGGACACCCTGAAACCTGCTCACGGCCCCCCAAGGGGCCCCAGACCCCTGGTTGAGAACCACTGCATTATGTAGCAGTATGTAATTTGTGATATGACTCTATAACATTAGGTGGCATCCTAACACTTTTATAAAAAGCAAAGCAAGAGATTTCAGGATTGTCCGTTGACTAAGGCATAGTTCTGAGATTTCTCTCTTAAAATGCACTGTCATATCTTTACCACAAAGGAGAAACCTGACTGATTTTTCCACCGCTTATTTAAAAGCAGAATACTGAATGGAGTGCAGTAGCTATTGCAGTGCACACACTGCATCAGTCCTTGAGCTGGAGCCTTGGTGGGTTTACATTCTTCAGCTTTGCTGCATACCCGTTACAGTATGTGATTCAGCAGATCGGTTTCTAAAAAGCTCAGCTTGCATCACTAAATGTATGGTCTTGGTCATGCCAAGACAACTGAGTTGAACATGGTCCCGATCAGCATTCACCTCATTAGGGAGCTGAAAATCCAAAACAATGTTTTTCAGCTCATACCTATATTTAATTTTTTTTCTTTGGTGGGGGGGACTTTGAAGGCAACTCAAAATTAAGGATTTTCTTGAAAAATGAATACTTTTTAATTAGCAGTAAGACTGAAATATATTGGCCTCCACACAATTGTTGTGATAGAAACAACTGATTACACAAAAAAGAAACTTGGAGGGCAGCTATGATACTGAACAACAGTTTCAAGTGTGGTATAAAATATAGGGTCTCATCACCAACTCTTAAAATGCCAATTTACCTGCAAAGAACCAAGAAGGAAGCTTTGCTCCCCCTCACCCACCCACCCCCAAGGTAACTGTCAGCGGACTCAATCCTGGTGGTTTCCAATTCCTAACTTTACTTTGTACAAATACGTGAAGTTTGGAGGGATGATCTTGGGCAGAAACCCAAACTACTATTTAACGCTTTTGAAGCTAATCATTTGTCAGCAGGGGTGTTTCAGATTTGTTTTATCAAAACTTCCAGTTGAAAAGCAGGCTTCTGAAGCAGATCAGTAGATTTTGTTTAGAAGGGAGACAAGGACATTAAAATGTCAAGGAATGGCACTTAAACTCTCTGTCCGGCTACTGAAAGTTACACAATTCATAACTTGAAGAAGAGGTCAAAGTATTGGGTGTTATGGAGATAAAAAACTCAGGACATTGGTCAACAGGGATGGCTCTTTTGCTTTTGAAAAGACCCTGGTAGTTCTTCCCTGAACCTTATGGCTGTCCCTCTCAGAGCATGTGCACATGGGCTAAGCTAAAAAATCTTCTAGTATTTTTATTTTTTCATTCAATAGTTCCTTCCATACTTACACAGTGGTGACTTTTTGAAAGCAAGGAATCCATGGGAAGCAGAATATATTCTCTATTACCCTGATCTTTTCCAGGAGGTAAACCAATTGGACCCGTGTCTTTCTGGAGCCATTACTCTGGGATTTTGCAGCAGCTCCTCTCTCAGCCTCCCTCTCCCAATATAATTTGATTTCCTTCTTCACAGCAGCTGTGGATTTTGTACTTTGCCCTGTATCTATGAAGCCCAGAGGCAGTGGCGGATTAACGCATGGCACCATGGGTCCCCAGCTAATTTGGGAGTCCCAGAAGCGCCGAAACCTGTGTAGAAGGAGGTAGAGTCACCAGCACCAGAACTGTGGCACGGCCCCTGCTCCTCCTCTTTCCCCTGGGGCCCCATCTCCTGGTCCTCCTTCCCTCTTCCCCGAGGCCCCAGCCTGTGTCCCTGCCCCCCAAAGCGAACCACCCAGGGCAGGTGGAGGGCCTGGGGCTCCCCACAGTGGCCCAGGCTCCCTGAGCGGCTCTTAGGGGTCTCAGGGAAGAGAGGAGGAGCAAGGCCCTGTGGTGGGTGGGGCCTTAGGCCCACCTTATCCTCCCTACACTGGGAAGAGGCTGGTACCACTAGCAGGGGCTGCACTTCACAGCAGGGGAGATGATCATCTTATCAGCTTCCCTGCCGCCACCGCTCCGCACCTGCCCAAGACTGGGGGGGTGGAGGAAGACATGCAGGGTCACAAACACCACCACCCCGCAATTTCTCAGGATGCCTCTGGTGTGGACACCCGACAGTGAGGAGGCAGCACTCCCCCTGTGTCCCTGCAGCCCAGGGGAGGAAGGAAGCAGCTGGGTGGCTGGCTGTCAGCTGAACTCCTTCCCCCACCACATGGGGCTGCTTAGTCTTCCCTGCTGTTGGAGTCCCAGTGCTGCCGCCAGCTTTGCATACAATCCCTGGGGTGAGTCAGGGAGTGCAGGCAGTGGCAATGCGTGGGACTCCAGCAGCAGGGAAGGCGAAGCAGCCTCATATGGCAGAGGAGAAGCTCAGTCAGCAGCCAGTGCCTAGCACAATGGGGTCCTGCTCCTTGACAGACTCCCAGGTGCTATGATAATACACACAGCCGCCCTGCTGCTTCCTCCCTCCTCAGGCTGCACGGACACACAGAGCACCAGGGCCAAGGGGAGTGCTGTCTCCTCACTATTAGGTGTCTGCACCAGAGGTGTCCCGAGAAATTGGGGGGGCACGTGACCCATCGGAACCTCTCATTTGTGTCCCCCACTAGCCACAGCTGCATATCACCTCTGATAATGCCCATGTTAAAAAGTGGGCAGGCGTGGCCGTCCTAGTTTTAAAAGTGGGGGGCCATGCCCCCCCGCCAGTTCTGGGGCCCCCAGGGCGTGGGGGGCCCAAATAAATCTTAATCTGCCTCTGCCTAGAGGTATTCTCCATGTGCTCCAGTGAAGGGGCAGAAAATCAAAACAGACGGCTATAAGGGAGCAGCTTGGTACAGGCAGATGACAGCCAACAATCTACTGATCTGCTTCAGAAGCCTCCCTCTCAG